GTATTGCCCCTTGAGATTTTGTTATGGTTGAGATGGAAACTTACCTTTCTCTTGGAAACTGAGAGGAGATGTCAATTTTGCAAAAGTATCTTTAAAATCTATCATGTTTTGAGCAAGTTCAGTATTGATTGTCTCTTGCTTTTCAATGAATGCATGTAATGTTTCCTCAAGATTTCTTCTAGGAGGTGGAGCATAAGGAGGTGATATCTATAAGAATTTTGGAAATTATTGTGTGCTTGAAACGATGGTTATGAAGTTTGTGCATTGTTATTATCACTCTTCCAACTGAAATTTGGCTGATTTCCCCAACCAGGGTTGTATGTTTGGGAGTATAGGTTGTCCTTGGCCTTTTGAAAACTGTTTAAAGCAAGGTTAGACAATTATTGGTTGAGTGTTCATATGTTTCACATATTTGACACACAATGTTTTCAATAGATTTTAATTGACTACTTGACACGACTAAAAGATTGATGTCTTCTCCCAAGTGCAGGAGTGTCGAAGTAATAAATAACCCGGCAAGACCGGGGTCGAACCATAGGGAGGTTAATTATACAAATTATAAATAACAGTAATAGAACAACAATAACAATAACAACAACAATAATAATAATAGTAATAACAACAACAACAACAACAATAATAATAATAATAATAATAATAATAAAGAAAAAGAAGAAGAAGAAGATGAAGATGAGAACTTTGAGATGAAATATTAACGTAAAGATTTAACAACGATAACAATAAATGTCAAGGTTAGAGGATCCACTAATGGTATGTCAAACAAGTATAGTATAAAATTTTATTAGTCAATTGGAATCCACACACAAAGGAGGTTCCAATCAGATGATAGATTGTTAACATGATTACATTAGTCATCTTATTCGATTAATGCTAATACTTGTAAATCTCGTCAAGCATTCATGATTATAACTTATGTTAACAACAAATCAAGTTCCTTTCATAGTTCAGGTGTCGATTATACCATACAGTATGGGCTATAAAAGTGCCAAGCATTTGTTGTACCAAGTGTTATACAACATAAATCAAGATTAGTCATTTAACAAGCAAAGTATTAAAGAGTGAACAAGATAACAAATATAAGACATGTTAGTATCAAACATTAAAGTCCATATTAAGTTTATACTATACTTATTCTTACACCATTAGTGTAACCTTTTCACCTTGACATAATAAACTTAGCCAAACATAGTGAAAGAAAGAAAAATAAATAAACAAAATAAGAACATGAACAAGATTAAAGTTAACTAAGTAGATGCAAGGAAATGAAAGGCATAAACTTGATATTAATGAAAGCAAAGCATAAACATTACAAAAAATACAAAGAGAGAAAGCAAGAGCATGATCTTGAGCTGGACACCAAGATGTCTAAATGCATAGCAAATGCCTCCTTTTATATGCCAAAATTGGGAACTATTGATTTGATGACTAATTAATGAGTGGGTGACCAACTCTTGACTTGGTGACTTACCAAAGGTTTGGTGTTGCGCAACAAGGATAAATGGTAAAGAGTTCGGTGTAGGTAGCAAATGAGCATGGATAACAGCTAAAGATTTGTGAATAAATTCATGCGTAAGAAGATGACTATAAAGATCTATATACGATAAAGGTTCAGCCTTGGTAATAAGATTTGTAACTAAGTCTTTAAACTCTCCTCGAAGACCGAAACACATATAAATTGAAATCTTCAAGCGAAACTGGCTTGCCAGCAGTGGCCAATTCATCAAACAAGGCCTTAACTTTTTGCATAAATTGAGTTACTGATTCATCACCCTGTTGAAGATCCTGAAGAGGCCATGAAGTTGCATAATACGAGAGTTTGAGGTAGAAATGAGAGCTTGCACAAAAATGCGCCAAGCAGAACAAGAGTTTTGGCAGCCAACAACAAGATGTAGAACTTTCATGGATAGGGAGGAAAGAAGAGCACTTAGAATAAGTTGGTCCTGAAGAAAGAGTAGATTTACCTTAAAAGAGATATCATCTCTAGCAAGAACATATGGAGATGGACATATGTTGGAGCCATCAATAAAACTGAAAACTCCTTGACCTAGGAGATACGGCGGCATCTCCATACATCAATATAAATAATTAGTGTTTGTTAATTTAAGGGAGATGATTTAATGAGTGTGAGATAGGGAAATGATGTTTGCGGTAGCAGAGATAACAACTGCATCAGATGCAGGCTGCAAGAAGGGAGTATCATAAGAGTTGAAGAGAGGTTATTCACTAGCCATGGCAAATGAGAAAACAGGTGGTGAGGCAGTAGAGGAGGTCTAAGGAGCCGCTGTAAGAGAAGAAGTCTAAACTGCCGGAGAAGAATACTGGACTGCTGGTGCTGCAGAAGAGGAAGAAGTATTGAGTGGCTATTCCATTATAGAGGAGGCTGTGAGGAAAGTGTTTTAATTAGTTTAGGGTTCTGATACCAAGTTGAGAATAATATAATGTACTAGGTTGTGCCTTAAGGTATCACTTACAAGAATTTAGGCATCGTGGACAACCAAGTGGCCGTGAAGAAGTATTTAACCATGCACACTCATCACTACGCAACGTCATCAAACATTCTTTTGGGGTATGGAAATAGAGGTGGAGAATTTTGCAAAACATGTCTGCTTATCCATATAAAATGCAAGTTGAGATTGTAGTTGCATCAATGACACTACATTAAAAGGAGATCGTAAGATGCTGAGGCTATTTCGAGTATGATCATAATTTTAATTTTATTCCATATAACTTTTTACTTGATATTATGCCTCGCTAAGTAATTTAAGGATTGTAGAGGCCTTCACGTATGAATTTTGTATGCGATGGAATTACAAATAGTTTGATGGGATAATGAAAAACTTTTATTAAGATATAAGGATTATTCATTTCGTTTTGTAATCATAATTATAAAACAATAATGTTTTGCCTATTAATTAAATATAAAAAACTATTTTTTCAATTTAATTTCAATTGTAATTTTAACCAAATACATCAAATTTTAAAATGAATCATATAAAAAATAATTTTTATTAAATAATTTTTTTAAACTATAATCATAAAAACAATCATAACATGAAACAAAACAGACTCTTAAATGTATGGTATTTATTGAGAGAAAAAAAGGAGCAGACGGATGCAGGGTTTTCACTCTTAAGCAAGTTCATATGGTTTTTGTTTTTCCAATCATTGATACAGTGCTTTGTTTTTTGTCACCAATGGACATAATTCATGGAGATAGCAGCAAGGTTTTCGCAGTTCTTTTCCACGTGTATAGATTTTGATTTGACCTGGTCAATCCTTGCTTAGAACCTTGAAACCCTTCGATGTCCCTTTTGTTAGCTGTGGAATTACAATAATTGTGGGACCCGTACGAATTGACTTGTGAGTGCGAACTCCACCGTCAAAAAGCCATGCCAAGGCCTTAAAGAAACTGAATTATTTATTTATTTTTTATTTATTTCGAACCTGGCAAAAATTCTCTTAAGAGGCCCAAAATTGGGCTTGGTGGGCCCAGGCCTAGAAAAAATAAACAGAACCTGATTTAGGTCCGGTTGAAACCGAGCTCGTTCTAAGCCATGAACATCAGGACACTTATTATCTAGCTTGATTGACAAGAGAATATCAGATGCTCGGCCTTAATCTCTTAGAGAATCCAAGCTCAGTGTTTTCTATTTTAAATTAAATTAAATTAATATTCTTTTAATATTAAAAATAAAATAAAACTTAAAAAATATTGTTTTAACTTTTTTTTTAAATAAAAAACTCAGATAGCCTGAATCATGGGTTTTGTGCAGGTTACCGGATTTTAACCTAGTCAATTCTAATTATTTTTATAAATTAAAATAATATTATTTTATTTTAAAAAATAAATAATTAACAAGTTATAATTAAATTTTTAATCAGATCTTACCAAATCAATTAGGATATTGAGTTAACTACTACTTCAGCTAAGTTTTTTACTTTTTTATTTTTTATTTTGTTTTATACTCCATCTTGTTCTAGCCTTATATCATGAGTTTTGTTTGAGTTACCTGGTCAATATTAATATTTTTTTTTATAAATTAAAATAATATTATTTTAGTTAAAAAAAATAATAATTAAGGTTTCAACTGAGTTTTTAACTAGATCTTTTTAAATTATTGAATTAACTATTTAATTAACTAAATTTTTAATTTTATTTATTTTTTTAAACTTAACTATTTTTAATCTGATAAGTTGAGTTCTAGATTAACCAACTTGATGAAAGTTTAAAACTTTAATTAACTAAATTTTTAATTTTATTTAATTTTTTAAACTTAATCATAAGTTGAGTTCTGGATTAACCAACTTGATGAAAGTTTAAAACTATGCATGCAATGGATAATAAACTAGGAATATTTTTGTGTTTTAAATATATTTTTAGAAAAATTTAAATTTTTTATTTTAAATTATTTTTTAATATTTTTAAATTCTCGTGTGTTAGTTGGAAATAAATTTTAAATATATTATTTTAATATTTTTTAAAATAGAGAACGTTTTAGACGCTGATCGCGGTACCAAACATCCCGTACTCCTTAGCAGCTGGAAACCAAAAGAAACCCATCAACCGTAACACCAAGTAACATTTAATGATGCGCCAAATCAAAACTTGTTCTAGTACATATACAACTCAAAACCCCAATTGCCAATTCCCTCATATCTCAAAAGCCTCGTGAAAAACCCATCTCATCATGTCTGCTTATGGGGTCTCTTTACCTCTCATGCTCCTCCTCCTCCTAGCTAATGTGATCGATTACAATGAGGCAAGTACAAGCACAGGTCAGGTGAGTGTTGTTTCTTTCCATATTCCCCTCTTAATTCGTAGATCCCTTTGCTTTTCATGTCTAAATTGGTGTTTGTGGATTGAATTTTTGTTGATTTGGAGGTAAATGGGTCTGCAACAACAAGTAATGAGATGGTGCCGTTGATGGAGCCACTGAAGGTTACGGAGATAAGAATGATGATGAATGAGACCAGGAGAAGATTGAATGGTTTTCAGATATGTGCAATGTGCACTTGCTGTGGAGGTGCTAAAGGGGTTTGCTTGCCATCTCCTTGTTGCTATGCCATCAATTGCAACATTCCAAACAGGCCCTTTGGTTTCTGTTCTTTCACTCCCAAGACCTGTAATTGCCTCAGATGCCATCTCTAGTTCTTGTGCTTTTTCTTGATCCTGTTGCAAGCGTGAGCAGGGGGAGGAGAATACCTGTTCTTAGATTTGTTTGTTTATAATTTTGTTTATTGCTTCTATCATGCCAGTATATGATAGGGTCACTGTTAGTGTTTGGGTATTGCTATTTCCAGGTAAAGCGTTGTTGCTATTTCCAGGCAAGGTAAAGGGTTGTTGCTACTTCCAGTGGGAAGTGTGTATAATTTTTTTAGGACGTTGCAACAACGCCTTCTGAGTGGAGACAGCAGACAAGGTTAGTATTTTAGCAATTTATGGATATTTGGAGAAGCATTTTTCTTATGTTTACCAAACCATTGGGGTTTGTGACAATCCAAGTAGTTGCCTTTAAGAATATATTAAATCTCAGTGCTCAGTAGTGCTGGTCTGTTACTCTCGACAAAGGATTAAGATTCACCATATCTTAATTTATTTGTTAATTTCTTATTATTATTATTTGTTTGTTCTCTGTCAACGTGAAAAATCTCAAATGCCCACTAATGTTTTTGCTGGAATATGTTTGTTTGTCGACCTATGGCTGGCTTCTTTTGTGTCTTCAGCCTCTTCTGTGATCTTTGCATATGCTGTTTTATTGCTTCTTCTCCATGGTTAAAGCATGCATGAACAGCTCGTTAACCAATTAGCATGTTTGTTCTGGCTATGGCCCTGTAGTGGGGCTAGCTATATAAAATCATTCGGTATATTTTATGCTCTTAATGCCCTGCTGCCAAGCTCCAACAGATAATGTCGGGGTGCCCTCGAGCGCATGATGGTCTTGAATTACCACTAAATAGGTTAGTGCTAATCGGTGCTGTAAAAGCTCTTATGTAGATAGGGTTTTTATAGTGGGTTGATATGATGATATTAATGCATGGAGGTGCTGATAGCGATAATAGCAAGGTGGGTGGAAGATGGGTAGGAGGCAATTAAGGTAGCAGCTAGTTGCTGAGATTTTAAGGTGGAGGGGGGCCTTATGATTTATAATCATAGATTGACCATTTATAATGTATCCCTTTTTACATAAAAGCAGAAATATTGAGCTGAATTTTGTTTTTTGTTTTAAACAAATTTATTGAGAGCTGTTTCTGTTTGTTTTAGTGGTCTTGCTGTGCATTTAAAAAAAATCTGAATTTTTTATAGTGTTTTTTAATTGATTTAGAGTGTTTGGTTTTAGGTAGCTTTTATAATTATAATTTTAAAAAATAAATTAAAAAAATATGTTTAGTTGTGATAAGTTGAATTAAAATAGTTGAAGTTTATGTGTAGTAAAAAATATATGTAAAATATTTAGCCTTTTATGTTTAAAAGTGTGTTTACGAGTTAGCCTTTTATGTTTAAAAGTGTGTTTACTCTATTTTTTATTTGGAGATATATTAAAATAATATTTTTTTTATTTTTTTAAATTAATTTTCATATCATCATAAAAAATATTAATTTAAAGTAAAGAAAAAAATAAAAAATTTAAATTTTTTTTAAAATATTTTTAAAATACAAAAACAATCATAATCTAAGAAAATTTTACAAAATTTAATTAAAATAATATGTAAAAATAACTGTACAACATTTCAAACTTAATTTGTTAATAGATCTCGCAGCATAAAACGTTGTTTCCTTTGTTATTAATACTCTTGGGAAAAATAAAAATCTAATATCTAAACAGTAGGGCTCGTGAGCACGTAGACATGGCAGTAGGGTTTGCAGCCACAGCGGCGATGGGTGCCTTGAGAAGAGTGTTTTGAGAATCTTACTGAGCTAATACATGACGAAACCCATGTGCTGTTCCAAGGGCAAACAGCGATTAAATTGTTTCTTATGAAAACCGGATGTTTGAAGGCTCCGCCGCATGGCGTGCGTGCCCGTATCATTATTGCACTCTGCAGGCACCCACCATCATCAATTTATACCAGTTTTCCTTTCCCTTTCTCGCAATTTCCTTGAAGAGAAAGCTAGGAATTAATGCTGAATCGTCATCATGGGTTAAACCGCTCCTCCTATCTTTATAGAGTTTCCTCTCCGAGGAGTGGTTCAGTGATTCCTCTCCTTTTTCCTTTCTTGTATTTTCCTCTTCTTTTCCCTGCTGTCGAACTTAAGATGAGTTTCTTGTGCACTTAATTTCATGCAAATTAATTGTTTTTCAAAAAATATATTTATATAAAAATTGGATGAGTTTATTTATTGTGCAATTAATTTCATGCAAATTAATTATTTTTCAAAAAATATATTTATATAAAAATTGGATGTAGGGTTGAGGCTTAAAACCCTTTATTATTATTATTATTATTATTATTTATAAGAAGGTTGATGGAGGGACCAATTTTGTTTTTGTAATGAATCTTGATAGAGTTATGAAATAATGACAAAATGGAGACAAAAGGACTGACTGTCGATAACCCAAAGATCCGAATAATTAGTACAAAATTAATATATACTATATGCTATGACCGTGCTTTGTTGTGGACTGGATTTTTAATTTTTTTTTTAAGGAGAATATAATGGCTTATCTAACATGGTTTGTATTTTATAACAAATATTTTTCTTTTCAAAAAAAGAAATTAATATACAGACAACACTTTTTATTTTTTATTTTTTTTACAGAAAACGCAAAAAAAACAATTATGGGTAAAATTGGAAATTAAAAAAGAAAAAAAAAGAAAATGAAATTGATCTAATAATTCTTTATTTTAAATATCATTTTTCATCTAAAGAACCAAAAAAATGGAGCTGTGTAAGCATAAAAAAAAAAAGATTTAATTTTTTGAAAGTCTATAACAAAGGGAGGATTTCTTACCTAAAGGAAAAAAATAATAATAACCAAACAAATAATAAAGTGATTAATTTTTTTTAATCTTAAGAGCTGAAAATATATCAAGTTTAAAAACTTTTTTTTATAAGAAAATAAACAATACACTAAATCAAATAATTTTTTAATAAAAAACAAAAAAAATATGAAAGAGTTGCCTAAATTTTATTTCACAAAGCAACAAAAAAATTCAATAAGAAACTAAACTTGAAAAATGAAATTAAAAAAAATAGAAAAATAAAAAGTAATTCAATAAACTCAAAACAATGGTGCAGACATGCTGGCTTAACAAATCAAATTAGCACAGTAAATTCATAATTTAAATTATAAATTATAAGGTTGAATTATTTTTATAGGAAATAAATTAAAAAAAAATAAAACACTTTAATCTTAAATAAGTTAAATATTGAAGGATAAAATTAAAAAAATAAAACTGGTATAATAAAAAAAATAACCAATATTAATATATGTTAACACCTCACGCTTGTGACTCAGTTATGAGATAGGGTTACTGTATTATAAAAAATCATGATTCAAATTTAAAATTAATTAAATATTAAATAATAAAATAAATAATAATAATAATAGTAATAAAAGAATGAAAATAAAAAGGAAAGAATGAGAAAAAAAATAATAAAATGATAAAAGATGAAATTGAAAGATAAAAATCAATAAAAAAATAATATAAAAATAATAATTAAAATAATGAGGAGTAAGTTTGATATAAAAGTTAAATTAAATTTTAATAAATATAATTAAAAAAAATATTAATAAAAAAAATCTAAAATCCCTCCGTGCTAGTGATTTTAAAATTTCTTCAAAGGGGAAGGCAGTAATTACACTCTGCATCAAAGACTATAAAACCCTTCCATGCTAGTGATTTTTAATATTTACTTTTCTAATTTTACCTCTTCCTAATCAATATTGACCGATGGATTCCTATATAAAGACAACTCTACTCCCAAAACTAAAGGCTAGCCTTTTCGTAGGGGTGAAAGGAAGGATAATTTCACTGTATATATATTATCCTTCCTTTCATAGGGAAACTACAAAGCAAAATGGCTGTCAATTCTTACAATTTGAATTCTTGGAAGCAAGTGCTGTAAAGCTAAGCATTGTAGAAATTATTGATCCACGGTCTCCCAGTATGAACACGTTCACTAAAATCAGTCTCCATCACCTGTATTCATCAACTTTACAGCTGCCAAATTACAAGTCTAGCAAGGGTGGTTTCTTCTTCACATCAGTGTGAATGCTCTTTGATTAATTAATGCCTTGCTTGGACGTATCCTTCATCATTTACAAGACCTGACTCGCACACCACAATATACAAACGAAGACAGATCCCAAACTTTGCTTTTATTTATATTGCATGTTGCCAATAATTCTCCTGTCAATCACGACCCCGGAGCTTCTGATCTCTGTATAACTTCACATCTTGTTTGTTCCGGCCCTCTTGCCTCTGGAATATATACATATATATATACATATATATATGTGTGTGTGTGTGTAATGAATGTACGATGGAGCATTGCGTCCACAGCTTCATCGACATGCAGCTAGCTGCTTTCTTTCACTGCCTCTTTGTATGGATCTATCCAGCATTGATCCTCCTCAACCGCCTCTTTCCATCGCTTTTGAAAAATTCTCAGTTCGATCAAGGACTGCCTCCTCACCTGCAATGGGTATCGAGGATAGGTTTATGTTCCAGAGATATGTTAGAATTGGTACAACCTGCAAGTTCAGCCATCATCCTGCTTTTTTTTCTTTTTCTTTTTTTACGACCCCTCTTCCTTCTCATTGCAACGTTAACTGCATTTTGTGCCCAAGACGCCTGATAAGTGCTTCTATTTTAATGTACATTTTCCTTTAGAAATCGAAGACATGGGCAGTAATCTCAACACCTACCTACATTGATGAAGACAATTTCTAAGAATAGAACAATGTCCTACTAGGGGGAGAAACGTTTCTGAAACTAGTAGGTTAATTGGCTCTAGACTTTAGTGACAGGCTGAATGCCTAACAAGCTCTGGAGATCCACTATGTTTGTACCTCTGAACGAAGTCGACGATATGTCAAGTGAGGAAATTGAAATGAAGAGGGATGATTTTCAACCACTCAACAAAAATAGACAATTTGAAATCATTTACAGTAATATGTACTTACTTCCAATCTAGGATCTGTTTTCTGTGAACGAGAAGACTCCTGCAATACACAGATGAAAAATCCATTTATATAGAACGATCAAACAAGGAGAGAATCCACATCAAAGGCATGGTATATGTCACACTTGTCAATTTCTCAGTTTCAGGAGAAGGGCAATCAAGGATGATGAGGAGTGATTTTAACTTCTAAAACAAGAGAAGTGGTATTTGCAGTTACAGCATAAAGAATCTCTTGGATCCTCTGGCATGCTTGTAGCTCTATACAAAATCAATATTAGGTCTAGGTGTAGAAAGTTGAATAAGAAGGGATGCTTTTCAACTTCTCGTGAAACTAGACAATTGAAATCATTTTCAACAGATAAATTTTTCTTTAAAACTTGCTTTCATTCCATAAACTGCTTTTTTGTGAATGATGTGGTGTGTTCACAGCAGGGACATAAATAATGCATTCATGTCATTGATCAAACAAGGAGTGTGGAAGTTCACATGGTGA